AACTAAGAAATTTAGCTACTCATTCTTAAAATGAAATTGACAATGTAATGAGAGTGCATTGCAGAGATATGAAGTTCTAGAGAAACTAGATACAAGAAAGCATAAGCTATAAGAGAGTATATTGAATACCCATTTGAAAACTAAGGAAATGAAGAAGTTTGATGCATTAATGGTGAAAGCTTTAAAGGAGCATTAAACTTGCATTGAACTTGAAAGAAAACAACATTAATGACATTAAATGAAGTTCTAAAGATTCATACCAGAGATTACAAAACAATGTATTGAAAGAAATGCAAAAATCTCAATTTTCTCTCACTAGACACTATTCATTATCTTCTACCAGACCTTCTCTCTCTATGTCTTTGTGTAATGTAGAATGTTGAATAATGGAATCTTTGCCTACTAGAAGCGTGCATGCAAAGGTGCCCTAGACTCCAGAAGTGACCTCTATCTGTAGGGGTGCAAGAGGAATGGCCAGGACAGAGGGGTTGCAGAGCTTGTCTGCACACCCAGCTCCTCTTCTCTTCTCTTTCCTCATTGATGGCTAAGCTTCCAAAAGTCCAAGATAGGTGTCCAAAGGGGGTTTTGAGTATTGGGCATGTCAGGGAGTTGCAAAAGGATGTCTTGGTGGGAGCCTCAAAGTAGCAGATCTGAGTTGTAGAGCATTTGAGCAGATGAGGTAAAGCATACCGGTACGTGTACCAGTACGGCAAACTCCAGTAGCCTTGGCATACCAGTACGGTTTGGTTGGTTTTCTGATTTTTTGATTTCCTCCTCTCCTGAGCTGTCCTGAGTTGTCCCCAAGCTACCTTTTCATCCCCATTCATCCCAAGTGGTTTGGGAAGTCTTAAGAGGCCTCATTTAGCAGTTTTTAATTGCAAATGCCAAATATCATCGTTAAGAAGTCAATTAACACAACTCCCATTATTTAATCTCAAAAACCAATTAAAATAAGATGATTAGCACATAAAAATCTACAAAGTTTTGTGCTAATTACACCCCACAACTTAGGTTTTGCTAGTCCCTTAGCAAAATTTAATTTCAGAACAGCATAGCCAGACTAACACATGACAATCCTCCGCCAATCAAAATACAAAATCGTAATGCAATAATCAAAATAAATATGGACAATATGGAATAGAATTATGGTATTTCATTACTATGTTTCAAAGTTGGAGTACATGGAGTCAAACAGTCAAAAATTGGCCTATTTCCTATAGATTCTTCTACCAGGCTAATGACCCCATCCTAAATTGAATACAACCCAACACAAAAGAAAAAGACAAAGGCTGCACAACTACTCTTCATCCTCCTCTCCATCATCATCATCGTTGTCATCAACCTCTTCATACTCACTCTCACCCTGCTCATCCTTGTCAGAATCATCCTCATCATCGCCTACCTTAACCACTGTGGAAGCGGAGGGCCTAGATGCAGAGGGAGTAGTTGTAGGTGGTGAGGATCCTCTTCGGATAGGCCTCCCAGGAAAAGTATGCTTAAACAATTCTTTCATCATTGCCTCAATCCCATGCACCATACCCTCTAGTGCATCGAGGCGCTGGGGAACTGAACGTTCAGGTGCAACGGTGGATGGCCTGGCCGATGATGATGCACCGGGGGCCTCAGAACCAGCACCCAAGGTCTTGGCACGCTTCCCCCTACTCATTGCCTTTCTTTTCTTATTGCTAGTCTTGCCAATGGCTCCAAGTTCTAGGGACGTGATCTTGTGAAAAGCATAACCCTTGACTTTGGGCATGCACATGTGGGTTATTAAGCTCCCGAATGACAGCTTGATCATGGACTTCTGCATCTCAACAAACTCTTTCATTTCTTGCCAAATGGGAAGAGCAAAGTCTATTGTCTTCCCTAACACGACCACATCCACAAGGTTCAACTTCTCCACGTTTGGTTTTTTCTCCGCACCCCTTGGTGAAAGATTGCAATGGAGGAGCTTATTCAATAGTCCATAAGTGGGCTTCAACCTCCCAGTTTGAACTATTCCCTTGAAGGTACTTGGATCCTCATACATCAGCTCAACCAATTCAGGCATCTTCTTGGGTCGAGGAACATTATGGGAATAAACTGGTGGGGTAGGAGGTGGTCTCTTGTAGTTTCCAAGTTAGGTGGCAAGTTCATCGAGAGTAACCACAAATACCTTACCCCTGTACACTTTATTTCAAGACCTCCACCCCATTCACCTCTGTCACCCGGAGTCTTTGGTAAAACTCCCTACACATTGACAAATTATACCCATCCACGGGCTCGAACCAAAAATTCATACCATGCGCTTTAATAAACCTCACTNCATCTAACTATCAAACAACCTTTCAACTTTCCAACCGATGTCCCGCCTGGCTCACAGACTCTCTCTCTCTCTCTCTCTCTCTCTCTCTCTCTCTCTCTCTAACTTTAACTTCAAAAGTTCAACGACCTTATGAACAGACACTAATTTATGTATAAACACTTGGATCACGAGGAGTCACGGCNTATCTAACTATCAAACAACCTTTCAACTTTCCAACCGATGTCCCGCCTGGCTCACAGACTCTCTCTCTCTCTCTAACTTTAACTTCAAAAGTTCAACAACCTTATGAACAGACACTAATTTATGTATAAACACTTGGATCACGAGGAGTCACGGCTGCCCTTTTCTCCCCCACCTCGTCTCTCCTTTCTGAATCAATTGTTATTTGTTCTTCTTTCATGAATTCTATATTCAAGCAATAGCAGCAGCAAAAAAATGGCAGCCAATATTGCATCCTTGAGGCGAAGTTTTGCAGAGAGAAGCAGAGAAAGGTTGCTATCCAGAAANTGCAAGAGGCATCTTACTTTCGGGAAAAGCAGAATCCAATGAAATTATGATTTAAACGAAGTGGTCAGCTTTTCTTTCTTTTGTCAAAGAAAGTATTGATTGAAGCCACTCTGTCTAAAGCATAATTCATGGGAGTGCTATGTCAGGGGTGAGATCATCAATATCAAAATCTTCAATTCCTCCATAAGGATCCTGAGCATATCCTGCTGGGAGTTCAGAGGTTAGAGATTCTTGGGATGATGATTCACTGCTTGAGTCAAGTTGGGCAAGGAATTTCAGGAATTTTGCCTTGGCCTTCTTCTTCTTCTTACTTTTAGAATCCTTAGATGAGGACCCTTCCTTTGCTGTACTGGAGTGATGGCTGTCATGACTTTTTTGAGCTGATGAAGCCAATGGATTAATAGGAGGACTATCACGGCTTTGTGGAGCTGGTGAAGTCTCTGTTGCAGCAGCAATTGCCTGAGAGGTACTTGGGAGCTTTACTGGAACCGGTACCTTAACAGGGAAATCCTTTTTAACTATAGTAATAATGTCACTATAGCTAAACCTGGGCCACCATTTAGCATAGAATTGCCGGATTAGGTTGAATCCAACAATTTCCCATTGCCACTTAAGTATCCAGGGGACTTTGTACCTGCAAATAAACATTAGTAAAAAGGGTAGTGGAGACTCCTGTTTACTAGGATGATAAAGGGATGAGAAGATGTTAATCTGATCTTTAAGATCAGCTGGATAAATTTCATCAATGGGGCCGTGTTGATGCCACCACTGTACGAACCATGCTGGAATATGGCTCTTGAAATTCTTATGAAAATTAATGAACCATGAATGAGACAAATCCTCATTCTGGTAGAGTAAGAATTTAGACCATGACTCAATGTAGTCATAGTAGTTAAACTGTCTAGTGTGAAATGGTAATTCTCTGAGTGTAGATGGGTGAGAATTCCATTCCTCAATAGAAATGATCTTACTAATGACTATACTATGATAAAGGATCTTAGTTGGATCATTTTTATCAAATATAGGTTTAGTAAAGATGGAATCAGTGTAGTAGAGAATATCTTGATAGAAACTATGGGGTTTCTCCAAGTCTACTGGTACATAGGTCCAACCTTTTGGGAGGTAGGCCTTCACAAGGTCTGTAGGTTCCTTGTATTTGGAATGGGCTAGTTCAATGGCTAGAACATTCTGAGAATAGGCTTTAATATATTCAACTCTTGGGCCTGATTGGGCTACAAAAGATTGGGCTGATTTATAAGGATTGGTTAAGCCACTAGCTGGTGGTCTTTGGGCCATCTGGGTAAAGGTTAATGGGTTGACAGTAGTCGAAATGGCTACAGGCCTATTGACTAATGCTAATTTAGTGCTTTCTGAGTCCATACGGGCTATTTCTTTGGCAAGTATCTGACTCAAATCCTTTAATATAGGGAAGTCTGACCATATGTTTTTTCCTATGCCAGAAGGCTGTAGGAAGAGTGGAACATACTTCTATTTCCAAACTTTCACGAAACCTTTCAATCTTTTGTTGTAAGATTGGGTTGGTTAAGTGTTCTTTAATTCTGAGGTGGTTAATCTCTTGTTTAAGAAATTCCACTTGTTTAGTTTTTCTATTAATTATATTAAGGGACTTAGACACAGAAGCATCTTTTAGTTGCCTTAAGTGTTTTCTCTGTGGTTTAGTAATGAATGGGAATACAACTTTTTGACCAAAAGGCTTAGTAGTCAATCCATCTGTATCTGTACTAAAAGGGTACAAGAGATAGATAAATGGCATACCAAGTATTACAAGATCTGTCATATCCTTAACAAGTATGAATGATGTTTTAAAACAGACATATTGCTGACAGACATGTACTTTTGGGAGTTTGTATTTAACATTCATTCTACTACCATTAGCAGAGCTAATCCTTTCCAGTGTTTTTTCATAATACACTGTAGGGATTAATCCTTCTTGTATGCAGTTAACATCTGCACCTGTATCAAGAAGAGCTACAGAGTTAAGGACAAAATTATCATTAATAATAATNCACTGTTTAAAGATAATTAGATAACAATAGTCCTGTGAACTCAATCTGAGGTGAGTATATAATGTGAAAGTGGAATTTTATTTTTGGGTTCACTTTATTTCAATTATTTAACTCAGTGTGGTTGGTATTTGTTACTTATGATTTGAGTCTACAGGTAAGTCATGGTTAAGCATAACAATGTCGTGCCCAGTGGGCACTTCAGGAAGCACTGGCAGAACTATGTGAAGACCTGGTTCAACCAACCTGCACGCAAAACCAGGAGAAGAATCGGTAAGCATTTTCCCATTTTACCTGGCCCCTTGTAAGTTATGCAAATAATCAGTGATTGCCTTCTACTCGTGTTTTCCTTTAATGTCCTGCAGCAGTCTACTGTTAAAAATGACCAACCTGTGAAATTATTTGTTTTTTTGAAACTTTTTCCAGCTAGACAAAAGAAGGCTGTGAAGATTTTCCCTCGACCGACAACTGGTCCACTTCGTCCTATTGTCCATGGGCAGACATTGAAGTATAATATGAAAGTCAGGGCTGGTAGGGGATTTTCTCTTGAAGAGCTTAAGGTGAGTTGTTTTATGTCATCGCCAGCTTAGTTAAGCATGTTTGTATGTTGCATCTGGTTTAAATTTGAAGCCTCTATTTGTACGTCAGAGGGAATAGGCAAGAAAGTTTAATGCTTTGGCCTGTACAAAATTGTATTATCTTGGTGCATTTATAAATATTTTTCTTTCTTTTGATTGCTGTTATTCCTTCCAAATATCCAAAAGAAAGCCTATTTTTGTAATCCCTTTTCATCATATGATATAAGGGGTCTGCTTTTGGGGCTATTGATACTGGCCTATATACTTGTTTTCTTTTAAATCCACATCTCATCTTTCTCCTAGTGTGTGTAGGACAGAACTAAAACGGGATGTTTAGTTTTGAGACCCAATTGCTGTAATTAATCACAATAGTGTTGGAGAGAGCACATTGTGCATGCATCTCAGATCTTTTTCTTTTTGTTTGTTTATTTAGTATAGATATCATCTCTTTCTACAATCTTGGAAAACACACTATTATGATGACTCCCCCAATTATGCTTGTTATCCCTGTAGAGGTATATTGATATTCTAATCACCTAGCTGCTCTGTGGGATGGTCTGACCACTGTTTGTGTTGATTCAACCAGGCAGCGGGGATTCCAAAGAAACTTGCCCCTACTATTGGCATCGCAGTTGATCATCGTCGCAGAAACCGCTCCCTAGAGGGTCTCCAGACTAATGTCCAGAGGTTGAAGACTTTCAAGGCCAAATTAGTTGTCTTCCCAAGACGTGCTCGAAAGTTCAAGGTATCATTGCCTGTTGCTTCACTTATACTGATAACTGTGGTTATTTGTTTGTGTCATATATGATATTTGCTTGACATTTCTTTGGCTGCAGGCTGGTGATTCTGCTCCCGAAGAATTGGCAACGGCCACACAAGTCCAAGGTCCTTACATGCCCATTGCACGCGAGAAGCCAAGTGTTGAGCTTGTTAAGGTCACAGATGAGATGAAGTCATTTAAGGCCTATGACAAGCTGCGCGTGGAGCGGGTGAACAAGCGCCATGTTGGTGTCAGGATGAAGAAGGCTGCAGAAGCTGAGAAGGAAGAGAAGAAATAGTGAGTTCTAGCTGATTGCTGATGCCTGCATTGTTTTTTTTTTTTTGCTCATTGGGTTCGTGTCTAATTACTGGGTTTTGTCTGAACGATTAGAAGTAGCATTTGTAATATCAGTGTTAAGCTGTATGAATTTTGGGATTTCTTGATTATCTGTTTGGTTTTGCGTTCCTACGATGGCTCTCTACATATTTGAATGGCAGTGTCCTTGTAGTGTTACTTTATCAATAACTTGATTCTTTCATAGCTGTGACTTTTGGATGATGCCTAACTTCTCGAAAGCAAGGTCAAATTAGAATCTCTACATGGAGTAAACCCGGTTACCTGCAATCTCGTTCACTAACTATAGATATTGATAAAATTCGATAATTAACAGGAAGAGTCGGATTCTGGATGTTCGGTTCAACCCATTCCACGGACTTCAAACATGGGTTGGTTAAAGCAAATTGAGATCGAACCAACTCTAAACCTTATTTAATAAAAAGAGATTTGGTGAGAGATCATCTTACCTCCGTCGAAACCTAGAGGAAATATTTTTTTTTCATCTCTTCACCATCGTCTATTTTATTGTTTTTTCCCTAATATCATTCTCCCTCTATTTCTATCCACTAGTTATCATCCCACCCCAAACTTGGACCCCGACCTCAGACACCGGACTCGACCCAACTTTGGCGAACAAGTATGTATTTTTATTTTTTTGTATTAGTGTGTGTTTTATTTAGTGTATTAATATATATTTATATTAAAATTTTTAATTATTTTAAAAATTAATGAATTTAACTCAATTCATTATAACTTATTTATTAAACAAGTTAAAAACAAATTAAATTTATTTTACATCAAACTCATTTTAAATGAGCTCATAACTAACCCCATATGCTCATTTGTCGCCTCTAGTCCCACCTAACCTAATTAAAGGTAAAGGGAATGATGGACTCGGCCATCTCCTGTAGCCCATATGGTGTAAGATCGGACGGCTTGAAAGTCGAGCCCTGGGCCTCCGGGTGTACCTGACTGTAGCATCTAACTATCAAACAACCTTTCAACTTTCCAACCGATGTCCCGCCTGGCTCACAGACTCTCTCTCTCTCTCTCTCTCTCTCTCTCTCTCTCTCTCTCTAACTTTAACTTCAAAAGTTCAACGACCTTATGAACAGACACTAATTTATGTATAAACACTTGGATCACGAGGAGTCACGGCTGCCCTTTTCTCCCCCACCTCGTCTCTCCTTTCTGAATCAATTGTTATTTGTTCTTCTTTCATGAATTCTATATTCAAGCAATAGCAGCAGCAAAAAAATGGCAGCCAATATTGCATCCTTGAGGCGAAGTTTTGCAGAGAGAAGCAGAGAAAGGTTGCTATCCAGAAAAGGGTATTCAGAATTAGGATTGGGTGAATCTTATGGTGGTGATGAAGGTCTCAGATGCGGTTGTATTCGATCAGTTGGCGATAAATTTACAAATTTTTGGATTACTGTTCGAGAAAATGCAGTTAAAGCATATAAAATGGGTCGCTCTGATCCTCGAAAAGTCATATTTGCAGCTAAAATGGGATTGGCTCTCGTGCTCGTTTCGGTTCTCATATTCTTCAAAGAACCACTCAATTATATTGGGCAACACTCCATCTGGGCGATCCTCACCGTTGTCGTTGTTTTCGAATTCAGCATAGGTAATCCACATGTTTTTTTAATTCAATACAAGTAATTATATTCATTGAATTCGATTTTTTTTATTTTCATTCACACGAACGTGTGTTTGTGATTATATGTAGGAGCCACACTTAACAAAGGATTTAACCGCGCCTTGGGGACAGTATCTGCCGGCGCACTTTCTCTGGGCATTGCTGAACTATCTGTGTTGGCTGGAGATTGGCAAGAATTTGTTATCGTTTTCAGCATTTTTATGGCAGGTCAGAATCTTAGTACATAGTATCAAACAGTACCCTTCTACATTAATCACATTGTCTTTGTATGTGATGCTCAAATTGTCTGTTTTATAAGCTTCCTTCTTGGTGCATAAGAATTCCTTTTCATATTTGGGATCTTTTTTGTTGTGTGGATTTTAGGGTTTTGTGCAAGTTATTTGAAGCTGCACCCGTCGATGAAGCAATACGAATATGGGTTTCGGGTTTTCCTGTTGACATTTTGTATCGTCTTGGTATCGGGGACTTCAAATTTTATCCAAACTGCTGTTTCTCGGTTCTTGCTAATTGCTGTTGGAGCTGGTGTGTGTTTGCTTGTTAATATCTGTGTTTATCCCATTTGGGCTGGAGAGGATTTACACAAATTGGTGGTGAAAAATTTTAAGGGTGTTGCTACTTCCTTGGAAGGTTAGATTAATATTCCCGACTAGTTTGCCTTACACTTTCAATTTTTATTTTTGTCAGTTGACTTGATATGCTTGATCGAGTCCCATGAGCTTTTGTGCAGATTGTGTTAATGGGTACTTGGACAGCGTTGAATATGAGAGGATCCCTTCAAAAATTCTATTCTACCAGGCTTCTGATGACCTTGTTTATAAAGGATACAGATCTGCTGTGGAGTCCACAAGCCAAGAGGATTCCCTTGTAAGCTACTGCTTATGGCAATGCTTTATCTTAGGTTATATGGCACACAGAAATAATTTAGTTTCAACTTTTTCACACAGTTAAACTTTGCTGTATGGGAACCACCTCATGGCCGTTACAAAATGTTCAACTATCCTTGGAGTGACTATGTTAAAGTTAGTGGTGCATTGCGGCATTGTGCATTCATGGTCATGGCAATGCATGGGAGTATACTCTCACAAATACAGGTGAAATTTTCTTGGCTGTCTTTAGTAGACAGTATCATTTTTTTAGTTTCTTATGCTACTGCTATGGCATTCTACTCTAACATAGCCATGATAACTGGCATGTTCCTGCAACATTAGATGCTGGTTGGCAATCTTATAGTATCTATTGCCTTTGGTGTGTTTTTTATGTTGCTCAAGTATCTTCCCTTATTATCTATTCAANGATTTAGTGCTTTCTGAGTCCATACGGGCTATTTCTTTGGCAAGTATCTGACTCAGTTTAGGTTGGGTTACTGGCCTAATGGGCTTGGTAGATCCCAAAGTTACAAATCTGTTGGACAAGGCTACTGGCAAGTCCGGTTCAGATTTAGGTTGTTTGTCCTTCCTTTCCCCCCGGTTTTTGGAGGAAGTTCCAGATGAACTAGGTTTGTGGGGTTCCATGTGGTTCCTGCAAAAACTCACGAGTTAGAAAATCAGGAATATAATTATATTCTCCTTTGATATATTCTATATCAAAATCGAAAATACTCAAAATGGATTGCCAACGTGCAAAAATTTGCTTATTAGCAAGATTTTTTACATCTTTAGTTAAAACATCCTTGGCTGATTTACAGTCAACCCGCACAAGGAATTTTTGATTCAATNAACCCTTTTTTGATTAATTATTGTGGTGGCTTAGCTAGAATGAACTAAGGAACCAACTGTACTTGATGGCAACTGCATAATGGTTACTGACCCAGACATTTTCATGTCCATACGTTGTAGTACATGTGTGTGCATGCATAACCACCAAATTAGAAAATTTTTGGGTCAGTGGTGTTGCTATCCCACCTCCTATACACACCCAGTCCCCAACAGAAAAACGAAAAAAAGGCAAAATAAATTGATTCTGTCAATTTATTACTAGGTAATCATCAATATGCTAGCTATGTAATCCTTCTCAGGCTAGTCTAAAATTCTATCTTACGTAACAGTTTGCAATATAACACCTTCACTTTGTCAATCTCTCACACACAGATACACTGACATTTACAAGATGATGAAATAGTTGGTACACATATACACGTAGCGATTAGTTGTTTCTTTGAAATGGGTAAAATGATGGATGTGTTTGATCTTTCTTCTTCATCCTTCTAAAACCAAATTGAAAAGNGTTCTGTTGGGTTTTATTCCTTATGCCAGAGTGGAAACGAACAAGTTGTTCAGGAGAATTAGGGGATTCTCTCTGAAGGAGGATTCCACCATAACCAATGTCAGAAGCATCAGTCTGGATGATTTTGAAGGAATCAACAGATGGAATACCAAGACAGGGAAGAGTCTTGATGAACTGCTTGACCTGTTGAACAACAGAAGTATGAACAGTGGTCCAAGGAGAAGGATTTCCTTTGAGCCTGTTATACAGAGGTTTGATAGTTTTTCTGAGATCCTGATAAAAGTCAGAAACATAATTCAGAGAACCTAAAAACCTTTGAAGCTGATTTTTGTCTAATATTTTATCAGGGAACTTGTCTGCAAATTGGATAGCTCGACTGATGGGTACTATAGTTGACTCCTGAATGTTATATCCTAAGAACCTTACAGAGGTTTGGAATAACTTAATCTTAGGAGCTGAGATTACTAATCCATTCTGCTTAGCAATCTCAAGGAAAACGTAGAGGTGCTTTCAATGTTCTTCTATTGATTTAGAGAAGATGAGAATATCATCTATGTAAACAATAGAAAAATGGCTAATGCAGTTAAATATTTCATTCATTATGTTTTGGAATTCACTTGGAGCATTCTTTAATCCAAATGGCATTACATTCCATTCATAATGTCCGAAAGGAGTAGTAAAAGCAGTTTTATACATATCCATAGGGTGGATCTGTATTTGCCAAAATCCGCTTTTTAAGTCAAATTTGGAAAAGATAGTAGACTTACTGAGTCTTTTTATCAAGTCCTGTTTATTAGGTATAGGATACCTAATCCATTCGAGAACTGTATTCAGAGGCTTATAGTTAATGACAAGCCTGGGAACTCCTCTTTCTAATTCTGCATTTTTTACAACATAGAAAGCAGGACATGACTAGGGTGACTTACTATTTCTTATGATATCATTGTTTAATAACTCAGTAATTTCTTTCTTGCAGAGTTCCATGGTTTCATAATTCATCTGAATAGGTCTGGATTTCGTAGGGATTTTGTCCTCATTAAATCCTTTAATATAGGGAAGTCTGACCATATATTTTTTCCTATGCCAGAAGGCTGTAGGAAGAGTGGAACATACTTCTATTTCCAAATTTTCACGAAACCTTTCAATCTTTTGTTGTAAGATTGGGTTGGTTAAGTGTTCTTTAATTCTGAGGTGGTTAATCTCTTGTTTAAGAAATTCCACTTGTTTAGTTTTTCTATTAATTATATTAAGGGACTTAGACACAGAAGCATCTTTTAGTTGCCTTAAGTGTTTTCTCTGTGGTTTAGTAATGAATGGGAATACAACTTTTTGACCAAAAGGCTTAGTAGTCAATCCATCTGTATCTGTACTAAAAGGGTACAAGAGATAGATAAATGGCATACCAAGTATTACAAGATCTGTCATATCCTTAACAAGTATGAATGATGTTTTAAAACAGACATATTGCTGACAGACATGTACTTTTGGGAGTTTGTATTTAACATTCATTCTACTACCATTAGCAGAGCTAATCCTTTCCAGTGTTTTTTCATAATACACTGTAGGGATTAATCCTTCTTGTATGCAGTTAACATCTGCACCTGTATCAAGAAGAGCTACAGAATTAAGGACAAAATTATCATTAATAATAAT